AGTTCCTGGCTCTGGCAATATTAGCTGCTTGGCTTTATTTTTGCTACATGTGCCATTGTTCTATCAAGACCCAGTCCTCAGCAGTGCAAATAAAGAGGATGGGGACATTTGCCCTACCTTACTTTAGAGAGGTCATTCTTGGGTCATTTCCATATTGTTTTTATACTCTGCTGCTTGTAGAATTGCTGTACACAGAGAGACTATTGTAGGTACCACACTTTTCTACAGATTGGGTCCTTTTCTCAAACCCATATGCCTACCATCCCTCTAACACATAAGGGTATCAGTTTTATCAAAGGCAGCTCTTCCATGAAAGCCATTTTTTGACCTGTTAGCTTAAACATAATACTAAGGTTCCAAACACTGAAACAAATTAGGAGTACAATTTAGAGAAGGAGAGCAAATAAAATAACAGTCTTTTAAATAGGACTGTGCAAGGACCATCCAACTCATTTGGCTTGCACACTTCTGATCTATAGAGACATCATGGCATCTGAATATCTTTTCCAAGGCCTGTATGGCTGCTTTGCCAAGTGCTAGTGATATCATAAATTGACACTGATCTGCTAGCCTCTGTTCTGTCATTTCTGATTCTGGATGTTGTTATTTCCAGAACTGGTGCATTCTTTTCAGATATCCTCTGAAAGGACTTGATTTGTAATAGCAAATCATTATTTGTTTTCAGTCTTCATATATTTGCAATAGGAAAACAACTTTTCTTCTAGTAGTCCTGCAGCTGCTGGCCCTGGTTGCTCAGCCAAGAGTCCTGTCCTATAGCCCACTTGACACCAGATATCCAGGAACTAGAACATCTAGAGTGTCCCTTGTTGTCCAGGGCAACAACCAATCTGGTATAGGTTTCTGTAAATTACATCTCACCATATTGTTTATAGGAGAAGCACTCTTTGTCTGGCTCCTTTGATGAGACCTGTCCAGTATGGTTGAACCTCTGGCATAGCTCTCATCCTCCTCAGAGCCCACAAGCCCCACAACCACGTCAAGCTAGTGCCTTACTGGGGGATGATGATGATGATGATGATGATGATGATGATGATGAT